AGGAGACAAAGTTTGGCCACAATTCAAGCATATAAAAATACATGAAAAGGGATTTCAAAACCCAAGGGCATCCAAGAATATTCAATGTGTATATGAACCCTGTATACATGTAAAGGATAGGAAATAAACAGACATCAGTTAGAATTAGACAGGTGAAATATATGAAGCAGCATTTCACTAGTGATGTACAAAAAAACCTTAAGATAAATGAAATCCGAAAAAGACACATGAAAATAAAATATGGACTTTAGAGAAAAAAACACATACAACACCCATAAAAATGATATCATTGACAGACTTAATGGCCACAGTGCTGTACACCCAAAAGCAATATAAGCACAAAAAGTCCAAGGAAAAGCATATGATATTCTTTTGTTGTTTATTCAAGACCTCCAATAACTGATTGGAGGGAATTATGGCCTTGGGCTGGGGACAAGCACTGGAATAAGATATAGCAATGCAGAAATAGTAGGTAACATGATAATAATGCTGGTGAAATTAACACAAATGCAGAAAGTTGCATGGATTCCACTGTGGTAAAATAGGAATTCACAATGCCACACGAGTTGTATTTTAGCATTTATCAAACAGTATCAATAAACTACAAGTACAGAGTGCAAGCAACTTTTACTGCAAGTAAAATGTGTTTTTTTTCTTCTAAAGTTCTCAAATTTACAACTATGAAGAAAAGGTGGCATTTATGGTAGATTTTAAATCAAGAGATTTTGCAAGTTATGCAGTTTATTAATTATCCAGTCCAGTATATTAATTATGCAGTCCAGTGTATAATGAGAACACAATGTATCTAATCTCTAATAATTAAATGAGCTAGGCTTTCATGTCTCCATTATAAAATGTAAAGTTCTTCAAGTATGAGTATAACAATCAATTCAATCCTACCGGCTTCCTCTGCTTTCTCAAGGGCTTTCTGTGCTTCCTCTCTTCTCTCCTTCCTCTTCTCCAGCTATAACAAAGAATTGCAAACAGAATATTTGACACTAAAAATGTGATATACAAACAGTATTATATAAAACCATTTCCTTTGTCAGATATTCAGGTACTAAAATGCTAAATTATGTACTTCACACTAGTGTGTATACCTTGTCTCAAATGTAAACAATTTACCATTTTTCTTCTTTTAGTCCATGTGACCTTGACTTTTGTCCTACTGCCTCAAAATCAAAATGTCTTTCATGTTTCAAATGCAAGCAATTAACAAAATTTGACAATGGTTTTAACTATAGAACTCGTTATTTTGAGGTAAGTGTTGTGTTGATGGAGTCGCTTTGACTTACCCCTAATTAACACTGAAAAGCAATTGGTGACTCTAATCAACTGTCACCGCTATAGTATACCTCATTATATGAACAAAAGCACTTCATTTAAACTAACTGCAGGCACAAAATAAAGTGACATGTACAAGAAGCAGTTCATCAAAATTTGTGTACAAGACCTAAAATAATTTCATTTTAGCTTTCTGTCCTGCAGGGTAAATAACTTGGGAATTTTACTTGTCCTGCAACGATTTTTAAACATCCTACCCTGTATATAATACTGAATCTGCTTAAAGTAGTATTTACCCAGACAGGCAAGCATCTTGAAATAATTACATACCCTTAGTCAGTCTCCACTGGTTGATACCAGTGGAGGAGTGAATTTTTCATGCCATGATTAACATAAAACTTGTTATTCAATCCAAGGATGTCACAAAATTTGAGAGCTTTCCCTTATCAGGATTAAGTTTTTAAACATGCATTTTTGTGTGTGATTTGAATTTTTAATGTGGCTTTAACAAATATCCACTCATATCAATACAATGTCTGCGGTTTATAGTGATGTCTAGAACTGAAGCTTCATGCAGCAGACATGTAGCATGATGTCGCACCCAGTCATATTATCCTGACACCAGGCCCAGAAAGTTATTACACTAACCTCTCAATGCTGAGCACCAAGTGAGGCAGCTGTTACAGGGCTCGAAATTAGCGGTAGTCCACTAGCCCGAGGCTAGTAGATTTCCAGTCATACTAATAACTTTCATAATGTTAATAGTCCGATGGGCTAGTAAGTTTCGGTTATCAAAAGTCAACGTTTGTTTATGCCATTCCCTAATAAAGACTTGACTTCAGCAGATGTCCCTTTGAATCAAAACAGTAACCATTGTCAACAGTCATAAAATATTAGCATGAGAAGATGAAGTCAATATCTGCCTCAGAAAGGTGTTTCTACAACAAGAAGCCATCTGATTTATGTATTCGCTTAACATTACCAATTATGGTACCGTCATTAACAACGGAAGTTAGGTAATTGATCCTCATTAATTTGATAATGATTAAATTAAAAATGACATGGTATCACACTTTATTCACTCGGCCACAGTAATAAAGTACAAAACGGTATACCACATAAAAGAACACTGCAAAAGCTATTCGAAGAAATTAAAGTTTGCAGGTTTGTTTGATTACAGTTTTTGTGGGGGAGGGGTCTTGCTAGCCAAACACTCCAACAGTCACAAACGGAAAACTATATATTTTACACTTGAATCGAAATAATTATAAAAATCAGATGAATTTATTGTGATAACTTTACTGACACATCTTTTCCATACAACTACTTTTTATATGATGATAAGAATTGATTTTATATTTTTTACCTGACAATGGTAAATAATTTAATGTACCTGGAGATATCAATCAGAATGCTGTACATTTTAAAATCTCTGAGCATGGGCATCTAAGATTTGAAAATGTTCCGCCTATTATTAATTTCAACAATATACTGCAACAATTACCAAACTTTCGCTATTAAAAAGATCATAACTGGAACTGTTATATAGAACGCACCAAATTAGATGGGTTCATTTGATGGAAACTTACTTTTTCTAAGCTGAAACTAAAATCATCTTCTGATGCTAATATTTTGTAACAGTGTACACAATAGCCACTGCTTTGATCATGCAGAACAAGCACTGAAGTCCTTATCAGAGAGAGGCCATTTAATGGGGGAGGCAAAAGCACGTTTTGAAATTGTGTTTCTTGCTCTGATTTTCTTATATAAAGAACACTGATATTGATTTTCTTACTTTAAATAATTCACATCAGCTATACTGTAATATCTTGTATTTCCAAAGAAGACACAATTCGCTCCTTATAAGACAGACAAAATGTGACGTTTTAAAGAACGTATTCAGCTACCAGAAAAAAAGCAAAAGTTGAATGAAAACGACAATAGAGAGGAATAATTCTTATGATATGGAAAGGTGTAATCGAATGTTTCAGACGACATGGACAAAAGACAGGAAATGGCTGAATTATGAAAAGAACGTTATGCTGTATAACTGGTGTGCGAAATTAGCAAAAAACACACGGAGAAAACATCCAGTTTTGTTGCAGGTTGCTTGAACTTTAAAACTGAATCAGTAAACGCGCATGAAAGCTTGGGCAACACAAAAATAACAGAGAAAAGCATCTATGCAGATACCACCAGAGTAATTGACCACCGGAAAGATCTTGGGAAGATTTAACGAAATGTGTTAAACCATAGGTGCCCAACGCAAGCTTGATGCTGAGAAGAAGAAAAAAAACACCCAATAATCTGAAGGAAAGCAATCATAAAGAGTGACAAAAATATATCAGATTACCCCAATGACCTATTCTGACATAGGACACTGTCTATCATACTATATAAGAGACAAGGTCAGTAACTTCCAAATACTTCATTTTACCCATGACTCTCGATTTCCTTCTGCTATTTAAGTCTTTAAAGGCATATGGCCATAATCTATGGCTTTTTTACTCCCGAGATAGTTTACTATGCATCAAGCTATAATTGACTTTCTTGTGTTGCACCAAACTGAAGTTACAGGTTCCGAAACATGCAAATTTCGTCTCCCTGGACAATGTTGCTCTCCGGTGACAACCGATGAAGGTGGCTTATTATAAAGAACCGAAGACCTTTCAATGATTTTGCATGAGATGTAAGGAGTTGATGTTGGAGACACTTACATGATTGATAAACAGTTTGTTACATTTACTCACTACATCACAAGTGAAAGGCAGAAACCGGTTTTGGTGGAGCATATCCGGTCTGTTCTTGTCGGTGCAAGTGTGGATGCTGATGTAGTGGAATAGGACATATTAAAGAGTTTAGTCTACTGCAAGTAGGTGTATATTCAAATATTTATTTTTAAAAAAATACTGGAAACATCATTGACGCCAGATTTGTTAAAATTCTTTATTTAGCATAGTATCTTGATTTTAAACGGTAACCATGTAAGAGAAGCTTTCAAAAAAATTAAAATTAATAACATTATTTAAGTATTGGCATTACATTTTTCTTGATGTACATTTTTTTCAGATTATAATCTTCTTAATGTATTCTGTTATCTTGCAAAGGCATCTATGCTTTGACTTGGTCCACAGTTGTAAAATGATGTGTTGCTGACTGAAAGAATATTATGGCATTGATTGACCTTATCCTAACAATCCCAGCCTACTCTGCTGATGCTGAGAAGGGTTTCTCAGAGATACAAATGATGAGGAGTGAATGGAGATATTTGCGACCTTGGGTTCTGTAGGACCTACTCTTTATAATATTCCATACAAATGATATTCCAACAAATGATCCAACACCAGCAGTACATTTGTGGAATGTTTCAGGGAGATAGGTAAGGAGACCTGAACAAACCCCATATGGACCTAGAGTGCAGGTGGAGGATGAGAAAGGACAACTGGATCCTTTTCTGAAATTGGATCCATATATTTTTGAGAAACAAGAAATGTGCATTGACTGACTGATGATTTGAAGGATTTGATTTATAAATTGTAATTCTGCATTTCATATGATAATGCTATTTATGAATAATATTGTTGTTAATCTCAATACAAGTGTGTGATATTTTTTTGGATAGGACTAGTAAAGATTTGGCAAGACTAGTAAATTTCTCAGCATACTAGTCCTTCTGGCTACAAAGAAATTTGTGTTAAATTCGAGCCCTGTGTTACTACTTTGATATGACTCAATCAAGGTTCAAACTTGCAATCTCCCGCATCCAAGACGGATGCTCTAACCACTAGGCCACCAGAGCAGTTTTTAAGCATGTAAGGTCTGATGATATATAAAAGGCTGCAGAGAATATTAGATAGAATTTGTACATGACCAAGTTTCTAGCACACATCTTATTATGGGCTGGATTTTCCTATTATGTACACAGACATATAGGACTTTATTTTTTATCACTTGCCACAACTATATTATTGTGCAGCTTTGGATACATGGACAAATCACTCAACATTTGATAAGACATTCAGCTGACATTAAGGTATATAAAAGCATCTAAAAAGCTTTTTGAAAATAGCATTATTTAATACTTAAGATTATCTCTGATTAGGAATAAAATCATTTAAACTGAAATTACATTGTATGCAATCTCATCTACCCCTGGGAAAGACAGAGTATAGTTTCCCAATCAAATTCAGAGGAAATTTTCATTTATTTTATCCTGTCAATTCCAACACTATCACTCAATTCTTGCAAAAGTTTGTGGAAATTATTACACTATACCTTCTGTAATAATTCCAAGCTTGTTCCCTATGTTGACTAGGTTGTGTCATTTCCCTCAGTAAAATTAACCAGCTCAACTTCTTCTGTGGAAAAACATTTCATCTTCTTTCTGTCAGTGACCTTGACCTTTGAACACTAAATAAATTGGGTATTTCCTTCAAGTGCAAACTATTCACAAAGTCTGTCAAGTTTACATGTTGAAAAACTTGAGTTACTATGCAAAATCCCATTTTGTTCTCTCGGTCACACTGATCATTGATCCCCCTCCCTTTCAATATGGTTCTTTCTTACCCAAGGGCAAACCAGCCACAAAGTTTGCTACGTCTAGATTTTCAACAACAATAGTTATTGATTGGAAACCAATTTCGTAAAAGACTGACTGAAAACAAAGTAACATAATGTGGTCTGCTTTAAGGTAGACTTAAAATAAATTGGAAAGTAGGCACATAAAAATTTAATTGTTACCCACTGCAAGTGAGGACAGGTGAACAACTATAAGGATTAATTACATTTTTCATACATCTTATACTACCTCTCCTGATTTCATTTCTGGTGGTTTGCCATCAAACACATATACAGGCTTGATTCCATTCTCAATCATTCTGATTGTGCGGTAAAATATTCCCATCAGGTGACTAAAAAAAAGAAGCAGTCACAATGACGAGAGTTTGCTTCAATTTTGTACAAGAAAGAAAAAAATCTACAGCATCGTGTATTCACTGAACTACCTCAGACATGTATTTTCACTTGATTCCAAAGTTATTCATATGTTTTTATTTAGTGCAGACTTGCAAGTCAAAATGTTGCCAGAACTGCATAAGAGGAAAATTCTTGTTTCTAAAATATTTTCTTAATAAAAAAGTGCAATCATTTTTATGTTGATTACAGATTTTGGACAAAAATAAATAACTCAATAGTCTTGTATATTCAATACATGTGCTTAGGTCTCATTTATATTGCATGGAACCATTTAACTTGGAGCTTACAGTTGTAGCACAGCAATTAATTATTAGATGAAGTTTGATAATTGGACAATGGATAATTGTTAATTGCATTATCTCAGGATAGATTTCACTTATATTACATGAAGCCACATAACTTGGATTATTATATTTAATTGACCAAACTGTAGCCTAGCAAATAATAATATAAGTTTTTAATAAAAAATCGTTGCCAGTTATCTTTTCTTTAAACGATGGGTGGCAGCATGGAACAAAGCTCTCCAAGAATATTTCTAGTATACTTCCTGCTTAATAAGCCAGCAATAAATAGATAACATATTCATCTTGCTAACAAAACTTCACAATCACACGGATCATAGATGTTAATGTCGGTGAGAGTTATTAACTTTGTGATTATTTCTGAGATTTTTTTTCAACAGATTTCATATCCCTAAAATCATGTTAGCTATTTAGTTTAGGCAGATACAAGATTCTTGTTGATTATTTTTTATGTTGAACACATGTGTGATATATTATTATGGTAACATCATATCCGCATTATATACAAATGTAAATGTTCTTTATATTCTCAGGTTGACGGTATATTAAAATTTTTATTTAAAGATGTCATCTTAGACAAGTATTTGTCTAAAAGACCCAAGTGAAAAAAATGTTTGCTATGTTAGTGCTGCTGTCCACTAGAAAATAAGTTTAAGTTAATTTAATATTAAGCCCATACAGAGAGAGATGGAGAGAGATGCACATGAGTGTTTTGTGTGTGTGTGTGTGTGTGTGTGTGTGTGTGTATGTGTATATGCAACGATACATGTCAGATTCATTAGAAGTGAAATGTTCTATTTTTAATTTTTTTTCAGACAACCTATACCTAAAATATTACTTGGAAGGGACGAAAGGAGAGAATTATCATGGTCTAAATTAAGTTGTATTACACTGGTGTGTTACATTCAGTTTTACAGTGACATTTTTCAATAAGATTTGGAACATTACATTGGGTTTTGTCATAATAGAACATATAATGCAATACTTTGAACTGTTTCTGACTACCACACACATACACATCCATTCATTTTTTATCATCTATTTGTGCAAGTCTGGACCGTTTTCACTGAAGTGATTATTATAGATTCATATCAAGTCTATATACCTCTTTATGACCATACATTTCAATTTTGTTGAAAATTATTTTCATTTAAGTTTTAAATATGAAACTGTTTTCACCGTTGTTCTTCAGCATTTAATTGCCTTGTAATGATTGAATAAAAATAATAAGACATTTGTACATTCTGTATTTACTTACCAAGTTCTTTTTTCCATGTACTTGACTGTAAATTGCAGCATGCCATTTGTAACTATAGTTTAAGATTTTCATTAAGCCACACTAGTCTGGAGATTTTATTAAAGCCACTCTAATCACTCTAATCAGCGGATAAGAAAATTATGTTAGTAGCATTAAGATTTTATATATAATAGGTTGGCACTAAAGATTTGAACATGAGGAACCACAAAGTAGTAAAATATACTATTTTAACTAAACTTAAAAAGACAAATGGCAATTTTAGTGTCTCATAGTGATAATATAGTATATATTTTAATACATCAAAAAATGAAATAAAACAATATTTGTTTTCATTGATAGATATATCATTGTAGTTTTCATAATTATGTACTGCTCGATTGATCAACAATATATTGTTCTGGCTAAAGATAAACTCCAATAATAATCAAATACTGGGAATGGGCTTCTCTGTGGCGCCCCCTGTAGGAAAGATAACTGGCTATGATCACTCATTGATTGATAATCATCAATGAATTAAATTTACTACTGATATTAATAATAAAATAGGAAAATGTCATGACTCCAAGACTACTTTCTGTACCTAATTATACAGAGACTGTCCACACTCACTCATGTCTACAATTCAAAACTAGTCCCCCAAAGGACTGACATTTTTAGCTGACAAGAACTGAACAGAATTCAAGCCAAGACCATTTCTTCTGTTAAACTGCAAACTGTTAAAACCATATCTGATATTCTTTGGTGACAAGTTCTTCAAATTAGCTGTGTATTGGCAAAATGCCTTACTTTCACATTTAGATCCCAAATCAGTAGGTTCATTCCTTATTCCAAATGCAAGACATCCACAGAATTTGGTAGATGGTTATTATACAGACACAAAAAAAATAGAAGATAGGATTTGTACATATGTACAGACAGATGTCATAACATTAAACATGTTGTCTCATTAGGGTCATTTACATAAATAACAAGAATTTTAATTGAAAATTAAACTCATTAAAAATTACCTATCTCTACTTAAACATGAAAGTATTATAAACTGCCATGAATATAATCAGTAAGCACAATAACATAGTTTTTGTGCAAAGTTACTTTTCTGTACAAGCCAAGACAAGTGAATCTATGAGCTAAGGTAATCTAAGGTCACATAAATCTACTGGGGTGTGCTTTTCTCCTATATGCAGAAGAATAAATTTGGGAAGTCCTAAGTATCACATATACATATAAAAATCAATCTCAAATTTCATTTTGTAATCAAACTGACCTGCTTTATTATTAAAAAAAACCCCCAATATATTTACCTAGTTGTCTCCCCTTCCTCATTCATCAGCTGGCTTCCATCTTGGCGTACAGCAATAAGAAATTGATAGATACTCATGGATGCATCAACTGCAACTTTACGGCCTGAAAAAGCAAGCTTGAATATCAAATCTCACATTCAGGCGATGCATAAATTACATATGCAAATATAACTCTCCCTGACAGTAACTTGTACACAATGCGGTAGAAAAAAGGAGACAATAGCATGAGCTATGATGCAAGTTAATGTTGTACAACTAAAAATTTTAGAAAGAAATAAAGATCAATACTGAGAATAAAGAGAGATGTGTGCATTAAATGGTTTAATAAATGGCTTTTGGGGTAAAAAGTTTTTAATTTTTTGTTTTGTAATACATGAACCTGCTACTATTTCATTGCTTTCCTTTTCCCATACTGTTATTTCTAGTCCAAGCTAAATATTCAATTAGTATTGGTGGGTCAGAAAGGATATTAACAAGATTGCAATCTAACTGGATTGTCACAGCCATCATACTGAATATATTTCTCTTTTGACATGAACTGAGAACACAGAATATGATAGTATCTTTTATCACAAGTAAAATTAGTTTTACCCTGAAGAAACTATGTCATAATAGTACTACATTACCTGCAACTACTGCATTGCTGAATTTACTAGTTAGAACAATTGTACTTAACTTACAGTAGGAGTGTTCACTACTGTAAGCTGGAAGGTTGGCCACATGCTGTGTCAACACTACAGAACCCAATCCAAAATGCCTTCACAATGGCATGCCAAAGATCATATGTAAAAAGTGAGACAATCAACCTGGAGATGGTAGCCACCAAATTATCAGAGTAACCCTTAAGAAGTAAAAAAGATGATTCTGACCTTTCCTTCTCCTTTTAGAGGAAGCACAATAAAAAAAACTGTAAAAAAGCTCTAACTGGGCAAAGATGTGTTACTTAGTTCAATAATTTGATAGT